GGGTTGCCGTCACACTGAACTTAGGATTTTCTCGCGACTCGTCCGAAGGGAGGGAGCCCGAGGGGGTTGCCAGATGCCAATTTATCCGCATTTCTGCCGAGTCTGTAATCGTGTTATTGCTGTCTCATAACCCCGAGCTGAGGATATATTGACGAGAGTTGAGGCATATGACACAAAGGGGTGTGTTCCTAGGTGGTTTGGGGATGGGGGGGGAGGAGGGAGAGGGGAGAGGGGAAGGAAAGGGGAGAGGCTGAGAGAAATAATCCAGCGGACAAGGTGATAGGATACTGTAGGTAAGCTCTGTGATGCGGTACCTCTCTCTCTCTCTCTCTCTCTCTCTCTCTCTCTCTCTCTCTCTCTCTCTCTCTCTCTCTCTCTCTCTCTCTCTCTCTCTCTCTCTCTCCCCCCCCCTCTCTCTCTCTCTCTCTCTCTCTCTCTCTCTCTCCCCCCCCCTCTCTCTCTCTCTCTCTCTCTCTCTCTCTCTCTCTCTCTCTCTCTCTCTCTCTCTCTCTCCCCCCCCTCTCTCTCTCTCTCTCTCTCTCTCTCTCTCTCTCTCTCTCTCTCTCTCTCTCTCTCTCCCTCTCTCCCTCCCTCCCTCCCTCCCTCCCTCCCTCCCTCCCTCTTTTCACACTCTTTCTTTCCTTCTTTCTCTCTCTCTCTCTCTCTCTATATATATGTGTGTGTGTGTGTGTATGTGTATGTGTATGTGTACACATATATACATATATATATATATACATATATACATAAATATATATACATACATACATTCATACACATATACTTGAGTATGGTTGCGTATGTATCTATGTATATCTAATTATGTATGCACTTATGTGTGTCTATATATGTATATATATACATATATATGTATATGTATGTATGTACAGCCCCGGACAAAAATTATCGCCTGTCCGCTGGTCGCCTCTGTCTCAGAAAGTTATTTAGTGCGTGTAAGAGTAAGGATGGGGGGGGGGGGAGAATGGTATGGAGTGTGTGTGTGGGGAGGTTAATTATTATACTAAGGGCTGGTCGTATATATATATATTTTTTTTTTTTCGTTCGGGTCATGTGGTAAAGGATTTTTTTTTAATAATCAGTTGTATTAATAAATGATTACGTTGCATTACACTTTGGGCGTTGGAATAGCAGTTCTAGATTAGAGATTAAAGAACGGTCAAATTACTGGTTAACAACCGATTTGCCTTCGAATCGCCACTTTTGCCGTTCTCCTGTGCCTTTCATAGAACCTGATGAATATGCGCACTCGTTACCAAATAGTTAAATTTAAGGTCTGTGCGCATAACGATGTTTTTTTTTTTATAACTCATCACAGGGAGAAATTAACAAGCTTCGATAACTGCCTTTGGTGTTGATCAAACCCTGTTGTGAAGATGACGTCAGACGTACCGATTCCCCTGCGAATCAGCTGTTCTCCCCCCCCCCCTCCTGCTTCTTCACCTTTCCTGTGGCCGCCGTCTCTGCCGACAGGTATGTCCGTTCGTCTGAGCAGGCATTCATCAAGAGCCTTTTCCTATAATGGCGTAAAATTAATTGACATAAGGGGGAAATTTAAAGCGGGTACCGGGATGGAGCGTTTGCTATGGACTCGAGTATGTTAGTGATTGTGTGTGAAAATCGACAAACATTAATAATTGATGTTACAGAAAGTTTCGTACACAACCTTTACTGATTCAAATTCCATCCGCACACTACTACTCTGCTCATAAACCAGATTAGTAGACAGATAAACACAGTATTTAGCTCAATGACAGGTTAAGTATCATGGCAGTAAATTTCTCTCACGAGCCAACCTATCTCCGCTTATCCTAAGCTTGTTTTTCGACGCCCAAGGTGTAATGCAGCATTATTAATTATTATCCTCCCCCACACATTGTGTTTGTTTATCCAAGTTCTTTACTTTTAAACCAGATAAACCTCTTCAACCCTTTAAAATGTAGCCCACAAGGTTTGAAGACCCAGAGTGGTTTCTGCAACTGTTATTAGAGGCATCACTTGAATAAGTTCAATTAGGAGACACGGTGCTCCCTCCTCCATAAGGTGGTTAGAAATGAATACCACTGAAAATAGAGGCAGATTGTTCCCTGATATCCACCGAGGTGACCCCTGGGAGTTATATTAGATTTTTTTTTGTGTGTAGCACCCAAGATTATATCCACATCAATACTGTACATCCTAAACCTAATTAATGAAAAGGTGATAAGGCTTAAGAAAAAAACGAATAGGAAAGGTATTATCTTAGGATACTTTAAGGGAGAAGAACAGTTCTTCAGCTCGTCACTTTGGCGACTTTGTGATGATACGTAAGACCAGAAACAGGGGAATATCAGACCCTCGTTCATTGTGGGCGTCGGAGTTGACTTTCGAGGCAAATTTGATGTCTCTTGATTCTAAAACAAATGTCGAATTGAGTTGAGCGAGTTCACGCACCGGTCGCTTGCATATTAGTGGTTTCACGCCGTGTTAGCTTCAACATTTCCTCCTATTGTTGTTCATCGCCCGGGAAAATTACTGGAACAATGATATTGCCATTTTTCCCCGCTGATGATTGTTTCAGAACGCCGAATCCTTGAGTGAATTTGTCGATTCCAATATGGTTTTCGTCTCGCATTCAAAATGGCATCGTGGCAACGTGGCCTTCCGACTGGAATAACGTTAAAACATGTTGTAATGCGTTACTATGCATTCATAACGGGTAATAGTATGTTTCTATATAACATTCAAATACAAATAGGTATGAGAAATGGCAAGGCGGATTATATATATTTTGAATATACGAAACGTGTGTTTTGTACCCTTATACGAAGCAATAGCAAAGTGTTTGTCTCTCCATGGCGGTTTCGACGTCTGAGACTCGTGTCCAAATTTCCCCCGAAGCCCCTTTCCCTCAGGAGGTGCAAAGATCAAGTCCCTGATCCCTGTCTTTGAGGTCTCGCTCTCGGCTCGTGTCTTTTGTTTGGCGTTTGGAAAAGTAAAATGTGTTTCTGTGTAACCCAGTGTCCGAAGAGCTGTCGGTGTGATATGGAGTGTGTGATGTGAAGCTAGTTTGTTTTTTTCTGAGAGTTATAGGAGAGACAGTGTGTGTGTGTGTGTGTGTGTGTACATGCGTGGCTACAAACAAAAGGAAGAAATCTTACACTGTCCCTTTTGCCTTTATTTTGCGTTTTCCAACCCATTAAACCTTCCCATTCGACAACAAGGACGAGAAATTGCATTGCGCGATCCAGCACAGCGAATCCATTACCGCCAAGTCATTTCTCCAAAAGGTTTCAGTAGTTCGATATCGACGCCTGAATCTCAAGCTGTAAGATGCCGCTGTCCTTACATGTCAAAACACGTTTATTTTCTCCCCTCGATAAAGTTTAATCATTCTCTCTCGGTCATTAAAGTGAAATAATACAACGAAAGTGAAAAAAAAAATTCCTGATCCCAGTAGTTCCAGATACGAAGCAATTTTCTCTCTCGCTAGTTTTTAAAAAATCGACACTTAGGAGGCATTTTTTCGACACCGGTGAGTGAAAATGCCCCCCCCCCCCCCACTTGACACACCGAACAGCATTCCCTCCCTTTCTTGACGACCGCTGCCCTTCCTGCCTCCTCCGTCCTGCGTCCACGGTCCACCACGTCACTGGTGTGTATCTTTAAGATGGTAATTATACTGTCTCAATTTGTAGTAGTATTGCTTTCCCCTTCAGAATTGTATTAATTGTTTTGATATACATGTGTGTGTATAATATATATATATATATATATATATATATATATATATATATATATATATATATATATATATGTATGTATATATGTATATATATATATATATATATATATATATATATATATATATATATACATATATATATATGTATATGTGTGTGTATATGTATATATAGATATGTATATAGATGTGTATATGTATATATTTATATGTATATATGTATATATATATATATATATATATATATATATATATATATATATATATATATATATATATATGCATACAAACACACACATATATATCTATAGACAGATAGAGAAGTATACATTAAGAAACATATATATTTATAGATAAGTATGCACACACACGCAAGTGTGTGTGTGTGTGTGTGCGTGTGATTTATACCCGATCATATTTTTGCCCCATTAGCGAAGTCTGGAAGTTAGAACTACAAAGGAATTCTAAATTTATAGTGATTTAAGAAAACGTAAATGATAAGAGGCGGAAAAATGAATGAGATAAGACAGCGAAACCAAGGGAAACTCAAATGCATTCACAATATAGATTGTAATAGTATTGGTAACTATAATTAGGACGATAGTTATATTCTTGACTATCATGATAATAATGATGGGAATCTTTAACTGTTGTTACTATTAATGATGATAACTATGATAATATAGTGATGACAGCTGTCATTATTATAATCATAACTGGATTGATAATGATAATAGTGACTATTGAGAATGGTGATATTGTTATTGCTAGCAGCAGCAGCATCATTATTATAATAATATTTTTTTTTATTATTGTTGTTTTGTTGTCGTTATTATGTTTTTAATATTACCAGTATCATTAGCAGTATTATCATTATCATAATTGTATCACTGCCATCATCATAATTAACACTACAATTATCCTTTTTTCTATCACCTCTATTTTTTTATTATGGGTCATTATTATTACCATCATTATAATCATTATTTTTTTACCATCATTTTATTGCCACGTGAGGGCTGTGGCAATACGTGGCAAGGTCAAACTCTCGAAAAGATATCGCGTTAATCCAGAGAAGAGATTCGCAGGCGTAAATACGGAATCCTGAATTGCAAAAACACTACCCTGCTGCCTTGTAAGAGAGCCCCATTATGCGTGGAAGTTCGTTCGAGATCTGAGATGGCCGAATCTGAGGAAAGGATTTCACACTTCCGACTCATTTCTTCTTCTTCTTTCTTCTTCTTCTTCTTTCTTTTTTATT